TAATGACATTGCATTCGCTCATCCCAACAAGCAATTGTGTATTGTTACGTGTGGAGATGATAGAGTGATTAAGGTAAGCTGTAAGACTTGATGTGGTTTCATACTTGGAAGAGATTTGGGATCCCTGATTATAAACATCTGTGCAACAGGTATGGGATGCTGTAGCCGGACGCAAACAGTATACATTTGAAGGCCATGAAGCTCCTGTGTATTCAGTATGCCCTCATTACAAAGAAAATATCCAGGTTTATATCTTTTTATAATCTTATCAACAGGTTTGTTTTGTCTTTTCAGATAAGCTCCCATCCTCCTGACTATTATATAACAATGCCATTTGTCCTTGTGGCAGTTCATTTTTTCAACTGCCATTGACGGGAAGATTAAAGCTTGGCTATATGATTGCTTGGGATCACGAGTGGATTATGATGCGCCTGGACTTTGGTGCACTATGATGTCATATAGTGCAGATGGAACCAGGTAAAATTTGTACTCCATTATATATATTTGTCTATTGCAGATTATAGTTTGACATTAAGTTATTGGAATAATATATCTGCATGGAATCTTTTTCTGTACTAATGTGTCGGACTTTATAGGATGAAAAATACAGCTTCCCTTTTTTTTCCTGGAAATTTCACTTGAAAATTTTCTCTCGTAAGCCATTCATTTTATATCTCAAATACATACGTATGCATATTACATAATGATGATACATATTGTGCATGCAGACTCTTCTCATGCGGAACAAGTAAAGAAGGTGAATCCCATCTGGTGGAGTGGAATGAGAGTGAAGGGGCTATCAAAAGGACATATTCTGGTTTTAGAAAACGCTCTTTAGATGTTGTTCAGTTTGACACAACAAGGAACCGATTCTTAGCTGCTGGTGATGAATTTCAAATTAAGTTCTGGGATATGGACAATACCAATGTGTTGACAGCTGTGGATGCAGATGGCGGTTTGCCTGTCAGTAGCACTCTCTTTACATATCAACACCACTCAACTTGAAGAGTGAATAAGTCACTAAATGTTTTACTCTTTTTATTTTTGCAGCCTAGTCCTAGACTGAGATTCAATAAAGAAGGGTCACTGTTGGCTGTAGCTACTAATGACAGTGGTATTAAGATTTTAGCAAATAATGATGGCTTGCGCTTGATTAGAATGTTGGAGGGAAGGGCTATGGAGAAAAATAGAGGCACTACTGAGCCCATCAACTCTAAGGTAGGTTTTGTTCTGTGGTCCTTAAGTCCATATTTGCAAAATGCCTGATGACATTATTTGTTGATTGTCTGATCAGTTATCAATAGTTATATTTCTACTTTGCTATCCAGGTTCACATGTCAAGTTTTATTGCTTACCTTTTGTTAATTTTCTTCTAGCAGCCTCTGATGGTCAATGCCATAGGCGCCATTGTGAATGTTCCTAACGCTGTTGCTCCAGCCCTGGAACGTCCTGATAGAATACAACCAACTGTGTCTATCAGTAATCTAGTAAGTTTAAGCTACATAAAATTGTTTATGCTCTCTATGTTCGTTGGTTTATATTGGTTTTTCACTGCAGGGTACTATGGAGAACAGCAGGCTTGTTGATGTTAAACCACGGATTTCTGATGATATAGACAAGATTAAGAGCTGGAAAATTTCTGATGTTGCGGATCCCTCTCAAATGAAAGCTCTCCGACTTCCTGACTCTACAATTGCTGGAAAGGTATAGAGGACAGACCTTGGATGAGTTTATATATTCTCTTCTCTGTGGGGGAGTATAAAATGTGACAGAAAACCCTAACTTGATGTTTTTGTTTATTCATGTTTTTTTACCCAAAATGAAGCAGATTTTATTTGGTTAGTGAACATAACTTTTGTTTGTTTTGTTTTTAAAACTGGTGCCAATTAATCAATAAATACGTATCTACTGTAGTGAACTAGATCGTTTACTTAGACTATGTAGATTCCACAATACCATAATTGAAGAAATTATTTCCTACTGGCAGATTGTGAGACTAATGTACACCAACAATGGCCTGGCTTTGTTAGCCCTTGCCTCCAATGCTGTTCACAAGCTTTGGAAATGGCAGCGTAATGAAAGGAATCCATCCGGGAAGGTATGGCTTGTGTCTTTGCTCAAGTGAATCTGTGCCTGTTGTGTATTTTATTTGTATGCTATAGGTTTCTACCTTGCGGTTTTTGTTTTGTTTATGCTTTTCTTTTTAATTTTTTTCAGGCTACTGCATATGTTGCACCACAGTTGTGGCAGCCTCCCAATGGAACTCTTATGACTAACGATGTAAATGACAATAAACCAGCTGAGGAGTCTACTGCATGCATTGCTTTATCCAAGAATGATTCTTACGTCATGTCTGCATCTGGTGGGAAGGTCTCTTTGTTCAACATGATGACATTTAAGGTATGTTATTGGTGCCTCACATTTTTGTGTTTTCCTCCTCATTTCGTTGATCTTTAGTCTGGCTGAGAGAACCCCGGCATATATAGGGCTGATACCCTTAACGACATAGCCATTCTTACAGATTGCTATTTGTTTTAATTATCTTATTGACTAAGTGCACCTGGTAACTGCTTTGCAGGTCATGACAACATTTGTATCTCCCCCTCCCGCAGCCACTTTTTTGGCATTTCATCCTCAAGACAATAATATAATTGCAATTGGCATGGAGGATTCTACTATATTAATATATAATGTTAGGGTTGATGAGGTAAGGCATCTTCCTTGGGTTTCTTTGTATTTGCTGCTTGATGTCTTTGATTTTTTGCTGAGTTGTCTGGTTATCTGAAAAGCTAAACCTTGGATGAGATTTTCAGGTCAAAACCAAACTGAAAGGTCACCAGAATCGGATTACTGGCCTTGCATTTTCCCAAATCCATAATGTACTGGTATCTTCAGGTGCTGATACCCAGGTGAGTGACTGGTTAGAGTTTTTTAGTTCTATAACAAGCATAGCAGTTCTTTCCTATCATCGAGGAAAACATTGAACTTGCTGCTCATTTATTTGTTTCATATTTTACTAGTTGGTTTTTTTTGGGGGTGATGGGAGGTGAATGTAATGCCGTAATTAAAAGATGAGAATAATATGGATGGAGGTGTTTCATCCACTTCCAGATAGAGGATTGTTTTCCGACCACTGAGTACATAAAATGGAACATATTAGACGCTGTTGATCCTCTTATTTAATTGTAATTATTTGATTTTTTAGTCCATAGATTCTAATTGCATGAGAGTTTTATTTGCTTCGGTGACTGGGTTGCAGTTATGTGTGTGGAGCATTGATGGATGGGAGAAAAAGAAAACAAGGTTCATACAAGCACCAGCTGGTCGCCAACCCCCGATGGTTGGAGAAACAAAAGTTCAGTTTCATAATGATCACACACACCTGTTGGTTGCCCATGAAAGCCAAGTTGCTGTGTACGATTGCAAGCTTGAATGTTTGTGCTCGGTAAGCTTTCACCTGGCAGTCCTTGTATCATAGTTTCTCATTGATGTTTCTGCTTCGGCAGATCAATATGCAAGATTCTTGATTTTCAGTTTTTAATTGATTTTTCCTTCCATTATTGTAATTTGACTTTTCTTCACCTCTATGATGGTAGTGGTCTCCGAAAGATGCACTCACTGCTCCCATATCAAGTGCAATATATTCATGCGATGGTCTACTGGTTTATGCTTCTTTTTGTGACGGTGCTGTTGGAGTTTTTGATGCTGATACCTTAAGACTCAGATGTCGAATAGCACCTACTGCTTATATACCATCATTTTCTCTCAGGTGAGCGGACAAGAGTACTCTACTGTTTATTGAATAAAAAACTTTGTTTTTTCGAGTTACATATGAGATCTTGTAAGGTTCATTTGCCGTTCGCTGATGGAAAATATTCTGCAGCGGAAACCCCAGCTATGCTTTGGTTATAGCAGCTCATCCTTCTGAGCCTAATCAGATTGCACTTGGCATGACTGACGGCTCAGTGCATGTAGTTGAACCATCTGATGCAGAGCTGAAGTGGGGTGGGGCGCCCCCTCAAGACAACGGCCCTTCCAATTCGTCAAATCCTTCTCCTAGCGGCCAAGCATCTGAGCATCCTTCCCGGTGATGGTGGCATCGATGAAATGAAGGGTAGACATAAATTTCATGGTGCAGTTTCAGGAAATTTAGTTAGTACATTTTCCAATTTTTCGTTAATTTGAGCCACTGCTTTGGTTCACGGCTGCTTATTATTCTATGTAAATCTTGTATTTGTTTTGTCGAATGAAGTTGTAGGGAGGGAGAGTATGATGAATCTCTGTATATTTTCGTTGTCAGAATGTGTTGGAAGACACCATGAAAAGGCCAACTTGTCTTCCGGCAGTATTTTAGGTTGTTTTATTCCCCTTAATACGTAATTATAGTACACATAAGTAAATGGTTTTTGGAATGAATTATTGTTTTATTACTGCGCTTCTTATTTACTACATGCACGAAGAAAATGTCTCAAAAAGGTCAAGACGGTATAGTGTTTTTGTTTTTTTCAATTAACGGAGAAGGGGATTTGAACTTGGGACTTGATTTAATCATCGACGATTTTGCAATCAAGGATAATATAGTAAGAGAAGGGTTTTCGAGAGCTCTTAAATTACTAGTGCATCATTCTATTATTCAAGTTGGATAGAGCAATGCACTCATTCTCTGCACTCGAGTTTGAGAAGTGTTTCCGAGATATCTTAAATTACTGCGAGATATGGTAATTTTTCATATGGGGTCTTAATCCACACACATTGCTTGTCACCCACTCCAATTGATATCAACCCAATAAGTCCATGGAGAAGGAAAAAATACTAATTAATCCAAAAAACAATACGGACGAAGGAAGAACTTTCATGCAATAAGAATTTTTTAGAACAGTATTTCAAGCTAATCACTAATTTATTTGTTAAACAAAATACATATGACATTACAAAATCAACTTAAAATACAGTCACGCAGGTAGATAAGGCTCTAGTCACAATGGCCCTCGATGAGCATTGCCCACCCACAGTTGTTGGTCACGTGACGAGATTACTCGCAGTCGCAGGGACTTTCCCGTTCTACACTTCTTGTCTTTACAGTCTACGACCACTCTCTCTCTCTCTCTTCTCTAAACAGCGATTGATTCGATTTGGTTCGGGTCGGGTCGGTCGGTCTCTCAGAAAATCCCAAAGCTTGGTAAGTCCTCTTCATCTCTAACTCAATCTCTCATGTTATGTTTGGTTGCCGGGAAAACGCCCCGCCGTGAAAAGATGTAAGAAGTTTCGGAAATTTTGTTGACTGCTCGTATTTATTTCATCTTTTTAGTGCGAGTTAGAGTTTTCTGGCTTGGTTTTTCTCGGCAACCAAACGGAGTGGGGGAGCATAAAATTTCAAAATTTACTTATTGCAGGAGCATTTTTTACTTGTTCATGTTATTACGAGTTTCAAGTTGGAATTCAAATTTGTGTTAAAATTGAAGAATTCAAGTGAATGTGATTTTAATCATGAATTGTAGGTTAAGAGGGCTCTAAATGGAGATGCCATCAAATGAAAATTCACAGCCCTCAATGAATTCTACCAGCAATGCTGATCATCAACAGGAGGCCATGCTTCCCGATGGCGTAGATAATCTGTGAATTCTTCTTTCCCTCTACATTTGAATATATATCATACACAGTTTATTTTGAAGTTCTTATCGAATTTTAGATTTAAATTGGTTTGCAAGGCACTTGTAGCTTTAGTTGGTTAAGAGCTGCAGTGAAAGTACACTCTCTAGGTTTTCGATGTGCTGGACTAGAGGGCCTTATTGATGCTTTTCACTGATAACAAAATACAACGTGTTGTTGACCATGAGGGTGAGGGACATTTTAAGGATCAGAGACCTTTCACGTTCATGTAGTGAGGGATCAGGTTATTTTTCGTTTAGTTTGCCCTATCATAGTATATTATCCAGTCCAGTAGAAATTCAATTGTTAATCGATCTAATCAATATGCATTTTTTAGTAACTTCCATCTTTTAGGGATCGGTAATTGTTTTCCCCTATGATTGAGACGATGTTATGGAAATTTACTTTTTCACGTATTATTGAGGGCTTAAAAGTCTTCTCTGTGCAAATTGTGTTACTCATTTGTTTTCTTTTTGATTTCATATTATGAAAGTATTGGTGAACTTGATATTTTAGATGTAAAGAGTCGAAGCTGGAGTTTTCTGAAGCAGAAGTTAGAGACGTGCTAGAAGTTATTGCATCCACTGGGAAATTTTGGTAAGCTGTCATCTTCATTGTGTAACTCCCTCATCCGTGTTTAGTTATTAATATATTATTTTTGGAGCATGTCATGTATGCGTATTTGATTGTGTTTACTCTTTGGTATGATGCACGAAAAACAAACATTCTGCTTGGTAGTTAACCGTTCTTGTTACTCATATGTTACAGGCATGATTGGGACAATTAAAGAGCATGCTATCCTTTCAGTTGAAGCAGGTATGGGGAAGTATGCCAACATGTTTGGCCTTCAGCTATTTATGGTTGTCACTGTATGCATGCTTGCACATGCACGCAAACACTCTTAATGGTTGTGCATGATTGCTTTCTAGTTCCTTGTTTATGATATATGTATCTTTCTCTCTCTCTCCATCTCTCTATCGCTCTTATTCTTTGATTTGAAGGTTCTATTGGAGTATCCTGAGGAAAAAATGGCAAGTGAGCAGCAAATTACTTCTTTAGGAGAAACCTATCCTGAGCTGGTGAAGAGGTTGGATGAAGGTATCCTCATTCGCCTGATCATATAACTTGATTGATGTGTCGTCATATGGGTTACTGCCCTTTGGTATTCATTGAGATCTGTGTGATCTAATACCCAACCACTGTCTCATGTACTGGCAGTCTAGGTCATTCTGGGTTTTGGTGAAAAATGGGTGGGATGATGTACTTGGACTATAGCTAATAGTCAAATCAAGGTTTGGGCAGTAGGCGTAACAATCACAAAAGAGGATGTGGAGCTAAAATTTCTAGTCTATGGGTGTTAGGGTCTATAGTTTTATAGAATTTTCAACTCCCTTTTTCTATCATAATTGCTTGTAGCTTGTTTCTTCATTGCAGCTCTTCATAGTTTTACCGAAGGTCCTCTGTTTACCCTTCAGAGGCTTTGCGAGGTGTGTATTCTGTCTTTACATCTCTGTATTATGCTTCATTATTGTGTCATTCATCTCTGTTTGACACTTTTTGAGCTCCGATTATTGAACTAGATGGGTTGAATATATCTTGCCTTTTCTGGAACTGCTATTATTCTCTCGCCCTTCTTTTCACCCTACTGCGCTATTCACCGCCTACCTTTAGCGAGTGCTTGCATATATTTTTGTCTGATACGTTCAACATACTACTATTCCTGTTCTATCTTTACCAGTTCTTATTTTTTTGGTGAATTTTTTGTCAAACAGATCCTTTTGGATGCAAAAAGAATCTATCCAAATCTCTCAAAGCTTGTTCTTGCATTAGAAAAGGTAAATAAATAAAAAACCCGATGCAAATGTTTTCCTTTATTTCTGATATTCTTTTAATCTGACAATTTTTCTCACTGCACCTGACGCCACTGATGGTTGCTCTATCTCCTTGACCATTTACTTATTCCATTGGTTTCGAGCATTGCCTCCATAGTTTAAATAATATAAGGTTGCTCTAACCTATTATTTTTTGGGCTGAAAAAACTCTTCCCCTCAAGTAAATCCTTGCCGCCTTATTTTAACTAATATTGAAGTATATCAAAGCTACAACTTGCATATTATTAGTTTCATTTTCTTAAACCTTTTGAATCGTAGCATTACAACTAGCACTTTCTTGCTTGTAGAATCTATTGGTGACATCTATGCTGACAGTCTCAACGGATCCATATCCACAAGCCACGGTGCAAAATTCAGTTGAACCAGACAATGCAATTGAAGAACCTAAAATTCACTCTGATTCAGTGCAAAATGGGGTGGAACCTGTGGTAGGCGGCGATAGCGATGAAGTTATGGCAGAGGTAGAGCAAGCTGATATCGACGATGACATGACCATTGCCGTGGAAGCTTTTGAAGATATAGTTGGATCATCAGACGCAAATTCAGTGCAGACCAATAATTCTTAGTTTTCCAGTGATGTAGTCAACAGCTCATCAGTTCCTGCATTAACCCTACCTATTGAGGTTGAGTTTTCTAAGTGAGGAACTTGGATCATTTACTCTGGTCTCCGGCTTGCAGGTTAGCAGCAATTAATACCGGAAAGTACGGATACTGGCTGGCCACATAGGTCCGGGAAGATTCTTATTCATATTTATGCTTAAATGATGTAGTTACAATTTTTCGGATGATTTATTTTAAGGGATTTGTTCAGCAAGTTTATCTTGCCCACATCACTTGGTACAATGCTTTTGGTGTTGAGATATGGGGAAAGGCAAAGAGAAATGTCAAGAGCCATATATGGACATTTCAAGTGGCGAGCAAGGACAGCCTGTATATCCACCTAATTTCCTACTAGCTAGACATGGTTCTTCCAGGGCCGTCTCTAACATTTTGGAGGCCTATGTGAATTTAATAAAAAGACCCTCCTTATTTAAAAAAAAAGAAGTTATTGGACAATATATCCATAGAAAGCTCAACAATCAATATTCAAACTTAATTGAAATCAGCATCCCTTACTAATTGAATAATCTCCAAAATAAAGTCATGATTTAGGATTCAGCTATGAAAACAATGGAGCATAGCTAAAAGAGAGATGGAAATGTGTTTGTATTTGTGGAAGGAAATAATACACTAGTTAGTTTTTTATTGCTTAATAAAAAGTGGAAGAAAGTAATATACAAGTTTTTTATTGTTAGAAAAAAAGTAGAAAATTAATATATTAAGTTCCACTTAACCAATTGTAATGATGATGATTTTTCTTTCAATTTAAAACTTTCTATTAGAAATTTATACTCGTATTATATATAAGGGAGGATCAAAAATTTTGAGGCCCCTAAAAAATTTTGGGCCTTGTGCCACTACACCTTTTGCACACCCCCAACAACCCCTATGGGTTCTTCCTTCGAGATCTATCTTTTAAACTTATCAGTTTCAGGAGGCGAGGAACCTGAAACTTCTGAGTTTTCTTCTTAGGATTCAAAAGAGAATTAAAGCTCCTGAAACCACTCTGTAACCGCAGGTAGCAGAAATCTACTTTCTTATTTTAATTTGGAGTGTAAACTTTGTCATATGTACATTGAACTATATGTTCAATCTCATCCTGGAAGAAATAAATAGCAGATAATACAGACAGAACCAGGACATAAGAGTTTCTTCCCTCTAATTACACAGTATTCACAATGAGACTTTTATTTCCAAATTTCTTAGGCTCTGACTTCAACGACGTCGCCATCTGTGAGCTTTGTATTGGGTAAAACCAGCTGACCGTTAACCAGGACCAGTTTTCCCTCCAGTCCTACTCTTCTTGCGGCATCTGCTGCGGTGCTGCCGGTTCTCAACCGCATTATTTCACCATCGGGCCACCATATAATCACCACTTCTCCAAGGACAACAGAACCTGGACTGCGGTAAAACTTGCTGCTATGCTTTGCTTGTCCAAGACTTGCTTCTGAGCGTAGCTGTTCTTCCCATCGCAGCATGGTCCTCAACAAACGCACCTAGAATCCGAAAGCAGATATTAATTAGCATCGATTAGACACTAAGTTTATTTCGCAAGCAACTACCACGCTAAATAATTAAAATTGTATGCATTCAGAGTAAAACCTTGTTGTTGATGCTAGTTTCCATGGAAGTTGACGGAACTGAGCTAAAGCTTGCTGCGGATGTAACATCGTCGAGCTCTCTTCCGTCAAAAACAGCAGAAACAACAGACCAATATTCCGATTCTTCTTGGTCTGTCAAATCAATGACCTGAATGAAGGTTGGAAGTAATCGCCCAAACTGGTCTTGCTGCAGAAGGATACGCTGGTTAAATTATTTAAGAGAGCAATTACAGTCATCATATAATCTATTCGTACCCACCATAACTTGTATGCTTTGGTTTGTGTCTTGGGTTACTGTAGATGATTTTGAGGATCATTGAGTTGTATGAAGGATCTGCATTGCGTACAAATCTCAGGAAGTACATGTTAAACATACCTTGTGGTACATCCCATCTCGACAGAGTGTATATCTCTCTAGGCAGTTGCACCAATCCCCATGTCCTGGTTCACACCACCATTCATCCGTCACCTGGAATACCAAGTCAGAGCAAATGGGGTCACTTGATATTCTCTATACCGACAGCACCTCTACAGAATTCTCCATATACTACCGAACTTGAAGGAGTTAAAGCATGATGGAACTCAACCGGGAGACACTAATGTAATTTGACTGCAGAAAAATCAACGTAAGGGACAAAGGCGAGGATGATTTGAAGATTAAGAAACTTTGGAAGCAGGGCAACTACGTGACAAACTATCTTAAGATCTCGAGTTCTTTCCACGAGTCAAGTTTCAGAAACTATGCAGTGGAGTCAATCTTTGAAATAAAGAAAGTCAACCTTCTTGTATAATCTTGCATAGGCTTCCCACCGTTTTATTTGGAAAGAAGATTTTCTATCAGCTACTGCTTCAGAAGCAGCTAGTCCAAAGCTCACTGCAACTATCAACTCCCTTCCATCTTTCTCTACTCTGCAATGTCAAGTTTAACACAAAACTTGGTCACTGGAATGCTCATAGAGTAACTCATGTTAAAAGAATATGGCACAAGGTAAGTTTTCTGAATTCCTCGATGAGTCTGAGGATTGTATTGATCATGATTATATATGAATACAAGCCTTGATGTACAAGTATACGTAAACTACAAGAAAGTACATATAAGGATTACATAATCAGAAAGATATGATTTCATAATTAGACTTTGCTGGAAATCTGGGATTGATCAGATTTGTCGGAATTACTTCTATCAGTATAGACATCAAGTAGTTACATACCTAATGATAACAGCAGCAAGAAGATGACTCCCTTCCACTCTAAGGACTGGATGTCCAATTTTCAGCAAATCATACTTCTGAGAAAAATCATCTTCTGTAGAACTTTGGTCCTCAATCTCAATATCTTTGGGTAAAAAGGATGATACGTCTATTTCAGATTCATCCGTGCTACTTATGTTAGAAAACGTATTTCCAGTCTCTTTATAAAGCCAATGTGCTGCGAGTCCATGTTCAGCGTACTCGTGCATCCTCTAAAAAAGATGAAATGATTATCAGCCAAGTCAGAACAATAATAACAAGTAACTATAATCTCCTTTAAGTTGGAAGACATTTGACACCTGTGTTCGTATTTGAACTTCCAAAGGTGATCTGTCAGGACCTTGTACTGCAGTGTGCAGAGACTGCAGAAGGGTATTCACGGTAAGATATTGAAAGCGGACTCCGATAAAGGCACAAGGCATGTACATTACATAATACATATACCACATTCAGACAGAATAGTCCAACATGGCTCAAGGGCCGGAGACTCGGAGGCTATTAGGAACTGAGAAAACGGAGCCAAATCATTTATATCGACCTTCTAAAACTAGTGGAATCATGAACTGGAAAACTGACCTGATAGCCACTAGGCTTTGGATTGACAATGTAATCATCAAACTCACCATCAATTGGGGTCCAATGCCTGCACATAACAAATTCTAGACATAAGCCGATCTTTGTATGCAAAATAATTCTATCAATAGTCAAACATTAAGTTGCTGGCAGTAACATTATCACATATTCACATTACCCTTAATTTAAACCTATATGTGATCATATTAATGCATACAATTACCCCATTCCATTACTTAACTAGATCCCACAACAAATAAACAAAAAGAAAAGAAAAGAGTAAAATGTCGGGGGCAGGGCAAGTGTTACATTATTACAAAAAAGAAGATAAGTTCAATTTGGTTACTTGTGTACAATGTCAAGAAGGCTGTAACAACACTGGACAGCAGGCCCATGCAAAGTTCCGTTATTGTCTCCAACGACTACCCTTAATGCACGGGCATCATAAACTTTACTAATGCTGACATCTTTCCGTTTCATCTACAAGTGCAAAGACAGACTTGATGTGTTAAAACTTGCGAGGGAATTCTATGTAAGGGCTTATCTGGTGATAACTGCAAAAATCAAGCAAATAAGTCTTCAAACATATTAAATTGTGAAGTTGCATTAAAACCTTGCTGTAGATGCTATACAAACTTTTCAAGCGGCTCGATAAAGTTACTTCCATCCCTGGAACATAACTGAAAACATAACGTGGTTTGGAACACTCAACATTAGCCAAACTGACAATGAAGCAAATACATTGTATAACGACATATACATTTATCCGTGGTCACACATAACTTTCATAAAATTGCAAGCAGAAAATGAAAATGGAGACAGCAAAGAACATACGAAGTTGATATGATCAACTCCTGCTCGAGGGCCTCCTCACAAATTACCATAGATGCCAAAGCAATTCCAGCATCTTGCACAACCTTTGGTCTTCTGTGAGTCTCCAGACCTTGTCCTAGAGTATTAAGAAATTTAGACCGTTTTCTTCGATCTAACAATACATCAAATGGCACTACAGCTTCCAAAAGATCCTGAGAATAATTTACAAAAAAGATCTGAGCAGTGACCTTAACTTGAAATATAATCATATACTTTTAATGTCACTTTCTACAGTTTTAGGATACAGTATTCAGATAGGAGTTAAAAAATTTCTTTTAAATTCTTGCCTTCATGGTTGTGACATCTTCATCAACTGCTACGGGCCCTTCGTTGTCGGAAATTGAGCTTCTTCCATTTAAGGACATCAAACTGGATTTTCTTTTTGAATTTCCTACTTTGTTACTAGAGCTCCACATAGAAGCTAGATCAGCTCTCATTTTCTTGAACATCTCAGGCTGTTTATGACATACAAAAAGGTTTACTGGATTAGAACATACAATTGGGGAAGGAACTGCAAATGGTATAGCAAGGACATGGAACTGACTTTTAAAAAAAATATTAAACAGCATCAATCGCACATCTATATCAGAACCTAAAGGTAATATCATAATACCTAGTTTCAAATTGGAGCTACCCTAGGATACGTTTGGGTTCCATACAACATACAATTATCTCCCGTCTTAGATACATAAAACATTCACCATTCTATATTGTCTTGCTTAATATGTCAAATTTCCACAACTACTTTAAAGGAAGATTGTGATCAGACCTGAAGAACAGCAAAGCACAGATCTTCCAGTTCAGCTTTCATTGCCCACAAACCCAATCTGGAAGCCAGCGAGCACCAAATTACCAAGGTCTCCCTTGCAAAAGCTTGAGCCTTTGGCAGCGGGAGAGCATAACTGTAAAACGTTATAGAATGCAACACATTGAACAATATTATGAGCCTAAAACTTCATAGTGGATAAGCAAAGTAAATGGAACAACATGAGCTTGTAATATTCATGGAAGTTTAGAGTCAGTACATTGTTCTCATATTGTGAAGACGATCCGCAAGCTTTATAAGCACAACACGTGGATCATCAACCATGCCCAGAAGCATAACTCGTAAATTATTTGCCTGATAGATTAATAGTGCAAACATGAGACATGGAAAACTATAGTAGTATTACTGATTCTATATGGTGATGTAAATAGTGATTTCTGCACCTCCTCATGACCAAGTTTACCCTGGTTCACATTTATCCTGCGGTGTCTCCGTAAAAGCTGCAGATAATGAGACCAGTTGATTAAAATTATTATCCCTCAAATTTCAGAGGTGAATTGTGTCATATTCGACATCAGATGAATCCAGATTACTAAGATAGAAATCCAAATTATGAAACCAGGCTACGATACCTGATTTATGTAGCTTAACCTGGAAACACCAGCTACCAGCTTCGCGACATCATCACCAAACTCTTGTTGTATATCGGAGAAACTTACACATGTATCGTCCACCACATCATGGAGAATCCCGGCTACAACAGTCTCAACAGCCTGCACCAAACTTCAAATTCTTTTATGGAATTGATGGGATAAAATAGAAACTTGTTCTGTTTGTACGGGGCTGTACGTATACAGTAAACTATAGTGAAAGTAAAAGTACAGGGTGACAAGCAAGAAAGATTCATACTCGCTCGCCGCTTGCAGGAACCAGCATGGCCAAGATTCTTCCTGTATGAATGCAATGGACTAAATAAGGGTCTCCGGTTTTGCGCAGTTGGCCGTGGTGAGCTTTCTTAGCAAATGCAACAGCCTTTTGCACCTGCCTTCACAGTTCACACATACACACACACGCACAAATTGTTTTAGTGGAATTGCAGACCAGTTGTATATATTTTGAAGTAATCAGATAATAAAAGGATAGCAAACCTTTGGATCATTGAAGATAGGATATCCAGTCACGTCCACTCCCTCCACCACATCAGAACCTAAACCCACCGCATTGATTAATTAAGTTTAAGCATAGATAATCAAGGTTTAATTGCTAACCAGAAATGGAAAACGGAAGTTAATTTGTTCACCTGGCTGGGCTTCCATTTTGGGCCACAAGAAATCGACCTTGGTGGAAAGACAAGCCCCGGAGGCGATGGCGACGGCGGTGACCGCGACTTGAGTGATGGTGGAGGTGACGGCACCGTGGAGAGAGCTGGAGCCGGAGGCAGCGGCGATGACGTTGGCAGAGGTGAAGACGGAGCTGAGGGACGCCGAGACGGCCAGATTGGGGGCGATTTGGTCCAGAACGCATCGGAACTGGGGGGAATTGCGGAGGTGGAGGCGGTGGAATTTGTGGGCTAACATGGTGGTGGTGGAGCTTTGGCATGTCATGACTCATGAAGAAGGCATGCTGAATTATGCTTTGGCAGTTGGTTGTGGTAGTTAGCTAAATGCTGCCAACTGAGCAAAGGAAAGAAAAATGAAATTAATAACATTTGCCAGATATTTAAATAAAATAAAAAATTAAATAAAATAAGGAAAACAAGTTATACGTAACCGCTCCGTTGTAGGTATGTGTGGCGAGCTAATAGCCAGCCAAGTCCAAAGCGCTGCTTGCTTCGTTTCTGATTTCTGTTGAGAGGGACAACCGACCGTTGCATTTCATGATTCCATGGCCACCAAAAAGATAAGCCTCTCTTCCGATTCTTTCAGACACTGACACGTGGAATTACTCCTTGCAGCATATTTTTTTCCTTTCTCAAATGCAATCGTTTTCTCACTTTTTATTATATACCTTCAAAGTTCCAAAAATTTAATTTAATTTGAGCTCTTTATTTTTATTTTGTTCAAACTCGTATTTGGCAACAATTGAACTTAAGACCTCTCACTTACAAATGAAGAGAAATACGGTACCTTATTAAATGGATTAGCCTCACAATGACCTGTTTATTAAAAATATTTTATGGCTCGATAAATGGTGAAACCGTTTTCAACTACTTTATAAAGTTACTCTTAATCATGACAATTTTTTTTTATAAATATAAAAATTTGCACTTTGCTAAAAAAAAACGTGGGCTAACATTATAGTTTCCAGTCAATTTTACAAATTTGTACAAAAATCGCTGTAAAATCTATTTGCTTTCACCTTCACCGCATCTTGAAGTTTTGAAAATTTTGAAGAATTTGTGTTCAAAATCTTGTAGATGAAGTCCCTTTTTGGGAATGCTTTGTGCCCCCATTACAATTTTTGTCCAAGTTTTCGACTTAAATATTCAATTAAAAATACATTTATGACTCATTCAATGGTAAAACCGCTTTTAAATGCCTTATAAAGTTACTCTTAAGCATGATGAAAAATATTTCGTAAAAATAAAAAAATTGCTTTTTTTTCTCCAAACAAATGTGGCTAACCATCACAATTTCTAGGTGATTTTGCAAATTCGTACAAAAATCATTGTAAAATCTATATGCTTTCACCTTCACTGCACCCTGAGGTTTTGAAAATTCACGTAAGACTTTTTGTCGATTTTCTTGTAAATGAAGTTCTATTTCTGCAATAATTTTGGGCCCCAATACTATTTTTGTTGATTTATTTTTCAGTTTTCAGCTTAAATATTCAATTTAAAATAGATTTATGGCTCAATAAAGTAAAACAGATTTCAATTGCCTTATAAAGTTACTCTTAATCAGGACATAAAATACTCATGATTTTTAATCGTTTTGCAAATTTGTAGATAAATCATCATTCAAACTATTTATTTTCACTCTCGCCTCACTGTGAAGTTTTGAAAATTAAAGTAAGACTTTCCGTTGATATTCTTGAGGGTCGAACCCTATTTGAACAATGTTTTGTGTCACATCCCGGCCCGGGCCCTCACCACATCCCGGGCTCGACTCCACCGTAGCACGATATTGTCCGCTTTGGGCCCCGACCACTCCCTCACGGTTTTGTTTATGGGAACTCACACGAGAACTTCCCAGTGGGTCACCCATCCTGGGAATGCTCTCGCGCGAACTCGCTTAACTTCGGAGTTCCGATGGAACCCGAAGCCAGTGAGCTCCCAAAAGGTTTCGTGCTAAGTAAAGATGGGAGTATACATATAAGGCTTATATGATTCATTCCCCTAGACGATGTGGGATGTTACATTTTGAGTCTCACTACTATATTTTTCACTTATTTTTTTAGTTGTCGGCTTAAATATTCTACTAAATATACATTTTTTGCTCAATAAATCATGAAACCACTTTCAAATGGCTTATAAAGTTTTCCTTAATGCTCACGGAAAATATTTTGCAAAAATAAAAAAAAATTGCATTTTTGACAAATAAACGTGGGTTAACACTCACAATTTTTAGTCGGTTTTGCAAATTTGTACATAAATTATCATTGATACTATTTATTTTCACCTTTGCCTCATCGTGAAGTTTTGAAAATTAAAGTAAGACTCTCTGTTGATATTCTTGAGGGTGGAACCCTATTTAACTATGTTTTGGACCTCACTACTATATTTTCACTTATTTTTTTTAGTTTTTGGCTTAAATATTCTACTAAATGTACATTTGTGGCTCAGTAAATCGTAAATCTGCTTCCAAATGCCTTAGAAAGTTTTCCTTAATGCTTAAGGGAAATATTTCGCGGAAATAAAAAATTTGCATTTTTCACAAAAAACGTGTGTTAACACTCACAGTTTTTAATCGGTTTTGCAAATTTGTACATGAATCGTCATTCAATCTATTTATTTTCACATTCGCTTCACCGTGAAGTTTTGAAAATGAAAGTAAGACTTCGTTGATATTCTTGAGAGTGGAACCCCATTTTACCAATGTTTTGGACCTCACTAGTATATATTTCACTTATTTTATTTAATATTCTACTAAATATACATTTGTTGCTCAATAAATCGTAAATGCGCTTCCACATGTTTTTTTAAAGTTTTCATTGATGCTTATGGAAAATATTTCGTGAAAATAAAAAATTTGCATCTTTGACCAAAAAAACGTGAGCTAACACTCACGGTTTTTAGTTGGTTTTGTAAATTCGTACATAAATCATCGTTCAATTTATTTATTTTCACATTCGTCTCACATTGAAGTTTTGAAAATTAAAGTAAGATTTTCCGTTGATATTTCTGATGGTGGAATCCCATTTTAACAAAGTTTGGAGCTCCCTAGTATATTTTTCACTTATTTTTTAGTTTTCGGCTTAAATATTCTACCAAATATATATTTGTTGCTCAATAAATCGTACATTTATTACTCAATAAACTGTAAAACCGCTTCAAATGCCTTATAAATTTTCCCCTAGTGCTCATGGAAAATATTTCGTCAAAATAAAAAAATTGAATTTTTAACCATAAAAATGGGTGTTAGGCAGGTTTAACGCGCAAGCGAGGCGAGATCCGTCACTCAAATTGAGGATGGCTCAGCACACGAAAAATGCGGCACGCAAAATAGGGTGAGCCGTCACACAAAAAACAAGGCACACAAAACAAGGCGGCCCGACACATATAAAAATAGGACATAAATCTAAATCTAAAGGTATTTGACTCCAAATAAAATTAACGTAGGAAGAAAAAAAACTTCAATGAAAAAAGGAAAAACAAGAAAATAAAAAATGATATGATTGGTACTTTTCTACCGATAGTCGGTAAGAGTTGACGCTAGTAAGATAGCGACTACTCTCTTATTTAATCGCTAGTTTTAATCGCTAGCATCGTACCAATCCCCTATTTTCAAATTTTTTTTGCTAATGTTTTTTTTTTTTTTTTTTATATATCTATACTAAAGAGGAGGGTTGCTCTATACTAAAAGGGAGGGGGATGCGCTTAGCCTCATAATAGGCTAACAATAATATGGTTCAAATTCGCCCTTGGTAAGAATTGAACCTAAGACCTCCTACTTACAAGTGTAGAGGAATATCACTAGACCGTAGTACTAAGTGGTGCTAATGTTTCTTTTATTTCTCTTATCACACCAACAAACTATCATATTCATGTTCTTCAAAATATATTTTTCCGTACAAAATTTATTATAATTCATGTTTAAACACTTGTAATAAACGATTTAAAACTTAAATTTAAGGATATTTGAATTTAATAGTGGTTACTCAAATAAAGTGACGTATGAAGAAAAAACTCAAAGGAAAAAACAAAAAAGCATAAAATAAATAAATTAGAATAAGGAAATATTGATACCACGTTACTGATCCTTGCCCAATCGTACTTAAATCATCGTTCAATCTATTTATTTTCACCTTCGCCTCACCGTGAAATTTTGAAAATTAAAGTAAGACTTTCCGTTAAGATTCTTAAGGTAGAACCCATTTGACAATGCTTTGGGCCTCACTATTATATCTTATTTTTTTAGTTTTCGTCTTAAATATTCTACTAAATATACATTTGTTCCTCAATAAATCATAAATCCGCTTCCAAATGCCTTATAAAGTTTTCCTTAATGCGCACAAAATATATTTTGAGAAAATAAAAAATTTGCATTTTTGACAAAAAAAACGTGGGTTAACACTTACGGTTTTTAGTCAATTTTGCAAATTCATACATAAATCATCATTCAATATATTTATTTTCACATTCGCCTTACAGTGAAGATTTGAAAATTAAGGTAAGACTTTTCATTAATATTCTTGAGGGTGGAACCCCATTTTAACAATGTTTTGGGCCTCACTAGTATATTGGCTTCACTTATTTTTTTAGTTTTCAGCTTAAATATTCTACTAAATATACATTTGTTGCTCAATAAATCATACAACCGCTCCCAAATGTCTTATAAAGTTTTTCTTAATGGTTAGGGAAATTATTTCACGAAAATAAAAAATTTACATTTTTCACAAAAAACATGGGTTAACACTCATGGGTTTTAGTAGGTTTTGCAAATTCGTACATAAATCATCGTTTTAATTATTTATTTTCACCTTCGTCTCACCGTGAAGTTTTGAAAATTAAAGTAAGACTTTATGTTGATATTTTTGAGGGTGTAACCCCATTTTAACAATGTTTTGGGCCTCACTACTATATTTTCAACTTATTTTCGTAGCATTCGGCTTAAATATTATACTAAATATACATTTATTCTTCAATAAATAGTAAAACTGCTTCCAAATGCCTTGTAAAGTTTTTTCTAATACTCACGGAAAATATTTTGGGAAAATAAAAAATTTGCATTTTTTCCCAAAAAACATGGGTAACTCACAGTTTTTAGTTGGTTTTTCAAATTCATACATAAATCATCGTTCAAATTATTTATTTTCACCATTGCCTCACTGTGAAGCTTTGAAAATTAAAGTAAGAGTTTCCTGTGATATTCTTTAGTGTTTAACCCCATTTTAACAATGTTTTGGGCCTCACCAGGATATTTTTCACTTATTTTTTTAGTTTTCGGATTAAATACTCTACTAAATATACATTTATTGCACAATAAAATCATACAACTGCTTCCAAATGCCTTATAAGTTTTCCTTAATGGTTAGGGAAATTATTTAGCGAAAATAAAAAATTTAGATTTTTCACAAAACATGTGGGTTAACACACTCACGGGTTTAGTAGGTTTTGCAAATTCATACATAAATCATCGTTTAAATTATATATTTTCACCTTCGCTGTAACAT